GTCTCTGCAGAAACCTGCTCAGCTGGCCAGCCCGGGTCCACACATCATGACTGAGATAATGAGAAGGGCCTCGACGGGTCAGTGTGTGTGTGTGTGTTTGTGTGAGAGAGAGGGAAGTCTGGCTCTCTGCCAACTCTAACCCATCCAGGTGGTTTGATTAAACACATCTCTAACACATTGTCTGAGGGTTAAGCAGAGAGGTCTGGGAGAAAAAGTGAAGGGTAAAGTAGGGGAAGTCAAAACAGAGTAGCACTTAGGCTGCTGGAGTCTGTTTTTCAGATGCTGCTCGTACTCTGCGTATTTACAGACACACTGAACATTACATTACATTGCCTCCCTCTCTGTTTGTGTCGACTCTTTCAGGGGTGCTGAACTACAAACCATGAATCCATTTTTTTCATCTTCCTGATGCTTGTGCCACTGGTGTTATTACTGTGTGTCTTGCTCATTTTATCAATTCTACACAGAGAAGTAGCAGAATCACTTTGTACCGGCATGAGTACTTACCACAATTTTGGCGGGAAGAATATAGCTTGGCTGAATGTCAGCAGTCAGACGGGGAGACTAGCTTTGCATATTGTGTGTGTGGTGATCTCTTCCACACTTGTTACCAGTTTATTTTCTGTCCATTTTTCTGGGTCTGGCACAGACATATGACAAATATGGTTCTGTTGTTTCTGACGGAAAAATAAATAAACCTTTTTCAATTGCTGAAAAAATTCGGTCCGGAAGAGCAGATTCCTGCTGCTTGCTACACGTTGGTGATGTGAACCTACTGCTGCATTTCCACTGGCCCAAGTCGGTCCCGTGAACCTTCACGGCAAGCAGCGCTGTTATGTACCTGCTCGATAGCAGGCTGAACGTACCCCTTGCACGCCCTGACACTCGGCCAGTGTGTGTTGCACAAAGTCATCAATTCAAGTTGGCATTAGTGGCATGCACAGTTTTGTGCACCGTATTGAAATTGAGTAAAACCCACTCAATTTCAATACTGTGCTCTGTGCCCATCTCGCATCAAGCACAGCTCCCCATGCTGATCATGTGTATAGAGTTCACCCTACTACCAAGGTCTTTCCAGATACTGATCCGATCAGCTGATTCTTCCCATGACCTGTGTGCTCTGTCAGTTGACCATGTACAGTATGTGGCATGGTCTATTGTGTTTTGTCATGCCCAGCCAACATTATTGTTTTGACCTCAGCTAACGAGAAAGACGACAAAAATTCAACCAGTTTCAGTGTGGCAGCAGTGAAAATGAATTTTTCATTTAATGGGATGTTAGACAGCACCTTTTTAGAAACCCTACAAAGTGAATGCCTGAGGCTTGTAGCTAAGTTTCTCACACTCAGCAGCTTAAATGTACCAAGAGTGAAATCATATTCATAAACTGTTCCCTGATAAATAATCTTGTCCCGTATTTATGTAGCAAAAGAGGGAAATGAATTGTCTTGCAAAGCTCATCTTTGTATGCCCACTTTCTGTGAATTCATACATTTCAAAGAGGACTGAAAGGGAATGAATTTGTCACATTTCAAAGCACACAGATCGCAAAATTAGTCATTAATTATTGCGTGAAATGAATGAAGATCGGTCTGGTCAGTGAGCATAGTGAAAGAGTTTATTATATTCATCTATAGAGATTTAATTTAGAGCTCCAGAAATGAGATAATTCATCTGAGAGTCGTGAGAGTTCTCACACTTATTAAGTGCTTGTGACATTAATCTCTCTATGTTCAATTGGAAGTCATGTTTCTATTTGATGGCTTCAGAGAGAAATTCCAGTTAAAAGTGCACCATGCTGAGATGAAGCTACTCAAAGACCTTTAAATGTTATCAAAAGCTATGGATGGATAGTTACATGGATTTCTACTTAACTGAGTAGTCTTTATGTGTATCCACTTAGCGTCCTTATTGTTGTAAGTTACTGTAGGACTAGCAGTGAAGCTGCAGGCACAATTATTAATAAATGTACAGTTATAACAGAAATAATGCTAGGAATGAGAGAAACACAACGATTTCTGGATTGTGCATCCTAACATTAAACCTTTTAAATGTGTTTTTGTGATATGATTTGTCATCGTTCGCATTGATTGGGTAAGGTAGATGTCAGGGAAGTACATAAGCTGCTTATCTTTTTATTTTGTTATGCATTTTTGAGCTTTATTGTATAGTGGGGCTACAGAGAGAGAGGGGTGTGAAACACAGTGAAATTCGTTCTCTGCATTTAACCCATCCTAGTATTTGGAGCAGTGGGCAGCCACTGTGGGGGACAAACTCTAGTTAAGCCAGTACCATGGTCAAGGGCACTGATAGGATAATTAACCCTAAAATAAAATGTCTTTCCATGTAATTAATGTGAATAGGAAATAGAGATGTATCAAACTGTTGAGTCTTTTGAGAGATGTAAATGTGAAGAGTGAGGCTGTGCCTTAAATCACTTCCTTGTTTCATCATTCATTCAATATGGATTATTGTCATTTTCATCACTGACAGATGAAGGGTCACTTACAAAATTAGGAGCATCACGTTTCTCCACTTATTTTCATTCCCGTGTGGGAATTCAGTTGAGGGCACTACATAGAACATATTTCACACCCAGAAACATTCAGAAATTAAATAAAATGGCTGGCGGTAAACATAGTGCACTATATAGTAAACAGGGAGGGGTTTTGGACACAGCCTAAGAGTCTAAAGCCACGTTGAGGCTATACTCTGACACAGTGGGGCTTTGAACTAAAATCAGCATGCTCACAATGAAAATGTTAACGTGAAAAGTCCATCTGAGGTTGATGGGAAAGTCATTAGTTTTGCAGGTATTTAGTCGTAAGACAAAATACTGGAAACATGACAATGTTGACCTTGATGATGGTGCTAGTTGAAAAGTTAGGGGATCACAATTCATCTCCTGGGAACGATGCACAGTATGTTAAAACATTTTACTGAATAAGTGTAAACTCTTTGTACAAAATTTCACGTCAATTCATCAAAACATTATTGAGATATTTTTGTAACAAAGTGGCGGACTGATTTTTTTTTTGTTAACGTGGTTAACAACACACACCTTGGTGAAAATCCAGACACATCTCCTCATGAAGATGCAGAAAAACACACAGACAGAAATGTATTTTGTCCATAAGCTGTATACTAATTCTGTTTGTACCTGACAAAGGACCGAATTGGGTTGGAGAAGTTCACCTTCATGTGATAAATACAACACAAAAATCACAACAGAAGTTCACAGTGTTGTCTTTTGAACGATACACATCTCTACAACGCATTCTAGATGTCTAACATTTAAAACACACATATGTGTAGGCTAACCCTCTACAACAATTCCCTTGTTGCTCCTCTTAAAGCAGTTTCATGTCTGCCTTAAAGCAAAAGTTAGGGGCCAGTGTGAACATTAAAACAGAGTTTGCTTGCTGTAATCTTTCCTCCTGTTCATCCTGGCCATTAAAAGGGCCCTTCCCAGTGCGCTTCCAATGAAAATTTTGGGGTTTCAGTGTTCATATGGACATCTGACAATTTGTAAACTCATCCTTTAGTTTTTCAGTCTTTCTTCCTAAAATAAAAGATTTCTCCTCATCCAAACAGATTGGGTGTAAGGATAGAGGGTGTTACATGTTCAAATTGGAAAGTCCTTTGAAAAAAATGTGGGATTTTAAATTTTGAATATAAAGTTGACTTGATTTAAGCTTTGGGTGGCTACTTGAACGCTTCTTGATACAATAACTTAACCCTATAGTTTCTTGTCTTGTCTTCATGTGCTTAGGAATATTTTTCATAGCAAGATATTGTCCCTGATGGAAGATTTAACTTGGAAGCGTATGTGGAATAAGTAATCAAGGTGAATAGTTAAATTTTTCAGCATGGTGCCAAGAGTCCCAGAGATCTATCGTTTTTAAATGGCCTTAATATCTCCAGCAGAATGCAGTCCAGTACCACAACAGCACTTGTGAGGTTGTGGATACTTAGGACATAGCAAATGACTGGTGATATTTTATCTGCTCGTGTAGAATCATTTATCATCTGCTCTGCAATCAGCCAGCACTCCCATCAATTCTGCAGGTCTCAGAGAGGAGAGAATAAATGCCTCATCGCCGCACCATTATGTCCCTGTTTGTCTCTGGGCCAACCTGAAAACACACAAAAGCCCAAGGCATGAGAAGCAGAGACACGAGTTTCACATCATTGCAGTTGTTGTCGTTTTGCTGACTTGCCTGTGTTTTTTAAATTGTGTGAGTTTAAATAGTTGGTATGTTGAATCAAGCTCTGTGAGCTGTAATATCACACACATTACAAGATGCATATTTGCTGTGACAGGATAGTTTAAGGCTGCTAGTTTTGGATTTGTGATAAAAATGTATTTGATTCCCCACTAATGTGTGATTTTTAAGGATAAAGTAGGCCCTCTGAGTTTGGCTCCCAGCCCCGCTCAGCAATTTCCATTAACATTTGTCACGTGAAAGCAATGTCAGCGTGAAAATAAACTTTTATAAATTTAAAACGTGTTTGCCTGCAATTCAGACTTCATAGAAGAAATGGACGAAGCCTAACGAGAGGCTGTTCTTGAAGGTTTCATCACCTTTTCTAGATTTGTTTTACCTGCATTTTTACTTCAACCTCACTGACCCACCAGGTCGATAGGAACTTGCTGTGCAGCCAAATGTTGTTTAACTCTGTTTTAAAGTGGTAGATCTCAAAGTTTGAGAAATGTGTAGGCTATAAGACGATGCTAGACATCTAAAATACTTCCATTTGATGGAACCTCCTTGTGATCTGCAGTTTGAATATTCAATTAAGAGTTAGAAATAAGCTGACACAGAAAAGGCCTTTATGTGATACTGTCACATAATGTGTAATAAGAGGATTTTTCAAACTGCAAAGCTTTCTAAAGGCAAATATGAAGGGATAAGTAGATTTTGAGAGCTGCAAGCTGTTGATGGCTGGTTTCAGAACAAAGAAGAGACTTGATTAATGATTGATTATCATTATTATATTCCATTACATACATTGAATTTTCTTTTTTAGATATAGCCTACCCATGCTTTTGACTAGTAGTATGTCATGTATAGCAGAGGTAGTTAAGTAGTGTATTTAATTTAATGCAATTATTAGTTTCCCCCTGGAGTGGGCTGCAGCCTGGGCGCCCCCTGCCCGCGTCAGCTACACTTTACCCCGGGATTCGTTACCCTTCGGGCCGCCGCCTCCCTCTCTGTCCCTGCGGTAGGTTCACCTGTAAATAAGCCGTGTTTGTTTTTGTTGCTAAAAGTGTATTTTCTTTTTTTTGTCTGTAAACAAATGAGCTCCAAATGATCACTGCCAATGTTTCTGTGACGGTGTTGGCTTGTGTAATATCTTGAAGAGTAATTTGTTGATTTCGGTGACTTTCCTGGCTTGATTGTTTCCACGTGTCACGTTAGCTTCGTGGTGGAAGTAGGTTTGCTAACCAGCAGGAAGAAAATGCTGCTTGGGTATTTTCTGCAGCTACCAGTAAGTCGGCTGTGACCACCCATGAATTTACACGATGAGTAAAACACGCAGTGACATGGTATCTATTTGATGTGCAGTGGTGGAAGAAGTAACGTCCTTCTAAAGTACCACACTGTGCATAGACTCCATGTATGTTGTATTTTACTGCTGCAGATTTAAGATTGAGCTCATTTTAACTGTGTGGTTTAATCTACAATGCATGCAATGCATCATATTCTATAAAATCATCATATATGTTTGTAAGGTTAGTGCGTTTTCATTGGACAGTAAGGCAATTTTAATGGTAACCAGTAACTAAACCTGACAGACAAATTTATTGGAGTAAATAGTACTTTATTTGCCTCTAATTGTATCATTGTGTTATTATTATTGTACCTTTCACATTTTTTGATCTTCTTACTTTTTATATATTTATATTTATGTTCATGTGTACTGTAGGCACAAATTTATACCAAGGCAAATTCCTCCAATGTGCAATAAAACTGATTCTGATTGTAAGATCTAGTAGAGTACACCTGTAATATTGCTTAAAATGGAAATAAAGTGCAGTAATTCTATTCCACCACTGATGATATTTGCCCACAGACATTTTAAGATGTCCTGTGCTGTTATATTAGCATGGTTTGATAAAGAGGCTTGCCTATCAATGGTCCCTTTTTTGTTGCTTCATTACAGCTTTTTGTTTAATACAGGTGGTGTGGGATGCACTGCTGCTGCTGGCCTGTGACTGTGGCCCCTCTTATCAGTTGTTCCTGTCCATGCAGTTTGGAACCGGCTTGGTTCTTCCCAAAGTTAACTGTCAGGGACCACCAAGGTAAATATCTGCTGCTTTTGCTCACATTCATTCTGTGCATTTATGTCTTGGCTCTGTTCAGCTTATGTTAATGCGCTTGGAAATATGGCTGCCTACACTGCTGGAGATTTATGGGTTGTTTTTTTATATTTATTCTATAGCAGCTGTTCTGGATCTGTGGATTGTGATAGCATGTCTTGTTGTGGCTGAGCTTCTTTCTTTCTTGGTTTGGCACATGCATTTTAGTGCTTTGTTGCTGGTGATTTGTGCAGTGATAAAAAATAAATACTTATGTTTGAGTAATAAATGGTATGGATCTGATACCTGTACTCTAGGTTGTTGTTGTTTTGTTCGTCTTAGTTCACTGTAACCAGTCCAGAAGCTTGGGGTAATTTTATGTTGGCGTTAACAATGTAAACACGGCCAGTTGAGTTAACGTAATTATTTTCGATAATATTGGATTACCATATCATTTCCTGTCCATGCAGCTTGGAACTATGGCGGTTCTTACAGAGTTGACTCTCAGCTTACACCCTGACAATAATATTCACTTCAACAAAGTGTCTGCTGCCTGCGCTAACGTGCCAATTGGGAATTCATAACTGTGTTCCAATTCCACACTGCACACTGGAGGTTTTGAGTTAAGTATTTTCAAAACAGACTTTCGAAAAAGACGCTTGATTTTTGAGTGCACTGTTTATGAACACTAATGTCTTACAATACCATGCGTAGAGGAAATAGAGGTGCTATTCCCTGCTGCAAAAACTGGTTTAAATTGCAGATTGTTGTTAAACGGCTCCAGCAAGATGGAAAACAGAAAAGTATTAAATCTTTGAAATGAAATTGGCAGTTGCATTTTTAGAGTTGATTGCACACAATGTTAGTGGATAACATTAAAGGATGTCGTTGTCTTTCTACACTAACTTTAAAATCTACTATAAATATTAGAATTGCAAACTGTATACACTGTAAATGCAGTAAGGAATTGGGACACAATCTTGGCTTGGTTCAGTCAATGTTTATGTGCTTGTAAATATGGCTGCTTTTATATTCTGCTTGTTGTTTTTGTTCCTCTTCTGCTCTGAAGCTGCTATGTTTGTACAGGTTTGCAGTGGTATCAGTTCTTAATTAATTTGTTTTTGTGAACGAGCTACTTTGCTTCTGGCTGTGGTTTGGCACATGTAGGGATGGTTCCAAAATTTCTCAAAACCCGAAAAATCAGTAAGGTTCGAGCTTATCGATAATGCTATCGGGACTTGCGGGTCCTATGATGTAACATTATGTCTCGAGCGTCAAATGTGATTTAATTTGAAATGCAATGGATAAGAAAATCATCAGGTTGCAGGCTCTGCCTGCTCTCTGTTGGCTCCTACACACACACACATCTGCAGCAGAGCGAGAGGCGGCGCTGTCGCGATGTAATACGGTGAGGTTTAAGTTAGCTCCAAACTACTGTAACGTTAGCTGATGACAGCTACGCTCGTTACTGTAAGTACGTGCAATAAAACCTTCGCAAGTAAAAAGACAATACTTTGTCAATACACCTGTCTGTCAGGTAAAGTTACACATGTAGAAATGGTTAATTTAATAATTTCTGTCCTCAGTATCTCATCCTGTATGTTTTATATAAGCACAGCTAACGCTAGCTTGGTATTAGCCAAATATTAAAAACAAGCTAAGTAGAAAGCTGTCTGTCTGGAGCACAGACTGGTCTGTCGTCTTAAAAACTCAGCTGCTGGCTGAGACAAACCAGCCGCTCCTCCTTCTACTTGGTAACGTCACCTGCAGCCAGTGAGAGAGGAGGGACTGATACAGACTGATGTTGTTCTTTCTAAACGTGACTCACTACTTGTGATGTCAGATAGTTATTGAGTAACTTTGCTGTTGTCTAGAAACAACATTTAGCTGTATTTAAAATATTAAATTAAAAATAACCAGGCAGTTAAAATGTACCCTTCAATATATGTTGATTTATCGCAAGTGATATGTCATCTCAATATATAACGTTATTGCACATTGAATATTTTCCTCATACTGTGCAGGCCCACCTCAAGCCTGTTGGGTCTGGTCTTGCCAAATAACCATCACTAAATAATAGTAAAGTATCGATAGTGGTATTGATAAATAATCGGATCGTTAAGCAGTCTCAATAAGGGTATCAATATCAATAAAAATGAACGATCCCCATCCCTAGGCACATGTATGATGATGCTGTCTTACTGTTGATTGTTGCTGTGATCAGTTATGATTAAGGATATCTGAGCAATTAGTGTCATTGGCTGGATTGGCTTTGCATTGCATTCCCCTCCAGTTTGTTTGTGTTGCTGTTTTGTAACCATCCCTGAGGCTAAGGGTAATACTCTATGTTGGCTCTACAGATATAAATACTGCTTATCTTCAACTTTCAACTGAAAAATTTTCAACTCTGGGAGAAACGCAGCGCTCGTCAATGTCAATTTTTACTAAGCCGTCCAATCACAGTGCAGGAGGTGTGGGACAAACACCACACCGAGCCATCTCAGCTCTTGAACCGCAAAATCTCATGAACCCACGTACGCTCTTAATGTTTCAGCCTCCTCTTCAAGCAGACCAAGGGCCAGACATTTGGTGGTGACATTTCTACATTTAGTAAAATTAGGTAGCCTACTTGCAACACATCACCTCCTCGGATATTATGAATCATAACAACCAAAGTGTCTCAGCTGGAGAAAAAAAAAAACAAAAAACGCACCTTAGCGCTCCCAGCTAGGGGTTTTCAGAAGAGCAGGTGGCATTTTCAGCTGGTAAAAAAAACGCTTTGGTGGGACACCCTTACTCAGTATTTTGATGTCAGGAATATAGTTTATTTAACATGTTCCATTTGTTTCCAGCGAGACACTGATTTTATATTATTGCTTTGCTGCTGTAAACTTTTGTTGCTGCTCTGAAAACAGTTAGTTATAATAAAATATTAAATTTGATAACTGTTCTGAATTATTTTTTAAATTACATATTTTTAAAAGGCAATTATTTTGTAATGAAAAACCATAACCACCAAGAAACGTATCAGTAAAATCCTAACAATATAAAATAATCAAATGGCAGGTGGTACAGACAAAGTTTATGATAATTAACATTAACAAGTCCATCTCGGATGGATCTCTAATTCATTTAATGTACTATTTTAAAGATTAAACATTAATTAACATTTAAAAATGAACATAAATCTTAATTATTTAGTTTTGTGTTGGATTGTTATTCCAAAATGCGACGATAAGATTAAAAATGTTACAGTAAATATATATCGGTTCCACATATCGGTCATCGGTCTAATTGGTTACTAATAATATGTATTGGGATCGGCCTGAAAAAAACATATTGGTCGATCCCTATTATGTATTATGAGTGTAATGCTATGGATTGGTTTTGTTTTTGTTGTTTGTTGTTCCCTCTTTCGGCCTTTTGGTTGAGGTGATTTTGTATGCGTGTGTTACGGAAACCTTGTCGGGGCTAAAAACTCAGAGTTACAGAGTTTTTTCTGGAATATTATGTATTCACATTTTTTCACCCCAAGCATTAGAGAAATGTTTAAACTCTTATGTGACAGCTTGATTTATTCTTCATCATTAACATAATTGCAACTAAACTACTGAGCTTCCGTTTTATGGTTTGCACTGATGCTCTACTTGGTAAACCGAACTGCCAATCTGAAGCTCAAAGCCATGTATTGATGCTCATCTGCTGCTTATCAACACGACATGATATTTCATAAGAGCTGCTTGTCTGGTGTGTTTTTGTGATTTTTAACATGCATACATTAATAATTATCTTCTGCATAGCTGACATGTTCCAACCTTCTGCTCTGCAAGTCAAGTGCATTGGTGTAGTTTTATCTATCTCTGTCAGACTGTTCTTTTTATATCTTTAACCATACAGCGTATTCACATAATCATCCTTTTGTGTGAGTTGGCAAAAAGCAGATTGTGTGTACAATAGAGCACAAGTGAAAAGTAGACAGTCATATTCATTATATCACTGTACGACGTGGGAGCATGTTGAACATACAGATTGAGATGACAGGTGATTCCAAAAGGCCCTTGAGATGACCTTGTTCTTTATTAAAAGGTAGTGTAACAATGGAAATACATGTGATACTTTTTATGGTTTTCCCTTTTAAAATCCCAGTCATATTACATAAATGACCAATGAAGCAGAAAGCCTCAGAGCAACTGAGCAACCCAGGTCGTGGTCTTCAGGGAAGATATGTCAGTAGTTTGATCACAAAATTATTATTATAGTAATTTATCTCTCAATTGACATGATGGTTACTGAAATGATTTGGAAATTAAAACATGAGAAAAAGAAATGTCTCAAGTTGTAGTCAGATTGAGAGGCTACAGTATATTGTCTCCCAGAATTCTTTCACATAGCAACACAGCATTTAAAAATCCTTTAAATAACAATCAACAGGTTAAATTTTTTTATGTATTAAATACTTTTCAACATTGCCTTTTCTTTTATTAGTATTTTACGCTTGGCTTCCAGAGTCCCAGCAGTAATTTGCTTGTCAGTGTGTTCTCCTTCACATGTCGCTACCCAAGATATTATTGCACTGATAATTGAGAGTCAGCACTCTCAAATACACTGTTGGTGTAGAGTAAAATTTTTGCTTTATCCAGAGGCTGGGGGGAGAACTCCCAGGCATGCCCCTCCTCAGAGGGGCTCAGTTTGAGAGCCTAGTTGAGTTCTAGTAAGGATGGGGACTCAGACCTCAGACTCCAGGCTGGATACTCTGCCCCAGGGCTTTGGCACATAGGGACTATTGACTCTGCGCGCCACCAACACCTGCCTCCTCTCTCTGTTCCCGGGGCCTGGGTCTTCCCTCTTTCCCGTGCTTTCGTAGGGCCCGAACATATTGTTGTGGTAAACCACCTGCCTGTCACTCATACGAGGCAGCATTGCTGCGTTATCTGGGCAGTGGCTTGTACAGGGAAACAAGTGGCACATGTCCTTGGAACCACCGTAAAACTGGGACGGTCCCT